GTACCCGCTGCGGCGTGCAGCCCGCTCCATTTATTTATCGTCGACGACGCTCACTGGGGGTGTGCAGACTCCGGGAGGGGCCCCTTACGGCCCAAGCGCAATAATAAGCCATATCGTGGCATCAACTAGGCCCTCGGCCTCATATCAATATCAATTTCATACCGTTGCGGCGCGCAACCCGATTCCATACTCAGTCCAAAATCACATAAGCCTCTCGGGCACATTAATATAGAAATATTCAGCCCAAACTTCATTTAAAAATATTAATTAAGTTTCAAGTTTAAGAAAAAATGGTTGAGTTTGCAAAACAATATTAACTACCAGGACTGAGTTCAATGATATGTAAAAACGGTAAGAAATCAGTAAAAACAATCCCTGAAGGATTCAATTAATTGGCACGAAGCCCAAATATAGCAATCAGTTCAATTAAAATGATAATAAGTGAATTTTCAGTCAAATACGCAGTATATTCATCTACCGGGACGGACCAGGTCACAATCCCCAACGGTGCTCTACCCCGTGCTCGCTATCCGGCGTGCAAGTCACCTCAATATAGCACTACGATGTGCAAATACGGGTTTTCAAACCCTCAGAACAACATTTACATCTATTACTCACCTCAAGCCGGCCAAAATCCTAGCTCGCTATGCCCTTGCCTCTCAAATCGACCTCCTCGTGCGTCGAATCTGACCAAAACCACAACGAATACGTCACATTATGCTATAAGATCAATACCCAATCGAAAATAATCGAAAAACATCAATAATCCCGAAATTGACAAAACCCGAGCCCCGGGCCCACTTCTCCAAACTCAGAAATTTTTACAGAAAAGTGTTCTTCATCTTCTCCCGATTCCGTACATATAAATAACACCAAAATCGGAGTCCGTTTGACCCCTCAAATCGACCCCTAAAGGACTCATAATCTCAGGCCCCAAAATCCTATTTTTCTACTGTTTTTATGAATTAAAGGCTGGGATTATGGTTTATAATCACCCATAAACGAGTTTTAATAATCAAATCACTTACCTCTGTGATACCCACTGATTTTCTCTCTTAAAAATCGCCTCAGAAGCTTCTTCACGTTCAAAAATTGGAAGAAAACTCGATCTGCTCATTATAGGTATACTTTTCACGCTTTTTACTTCTCCCAATGGATTCCTTGTGAAATTCTAATGAATTTAGGCTTTTGAATCACTCAATTTGACCTTATAATGAAGGAGATATGTAGGTTTTAAGATTTGCAAATAGTGCAGGTTTTTAATACGCCATCAGGGGCAATTTCGTCATTAACCTGAAAATCTGGGCAACCTTGGTAAAATGGCCATAAAATCCTCATACGATGTCCAAATTCGACGATTCTTTTTTGCTACGGGTCCGTAATTACGATACGGACCTAATGCTTCATTCAAAACAGTAATCGGAGCTCATTTGTTCAATATGATATCATTTATGCTTGAAGAAACGACGTCGAAGCATAAGAAAAACGAGCACAACGCAGCCCAAACCTATCCGAAACTCACCCGAGCTCCTGGGGACCGCATACGAACATACTAACACGTCACATATGATCATTCAAACTTAGTTGCACTCTCAAAACACCAAAACTAACATCAAAACACCAAATTTACATCGGATTCAAGCCTAAGTTCTTCTAAAACTTCCGAAACACGCATTTGATCAAAAACCCAACCAAATCACCTCCGAATAACCTGAAATTTTGCACACACATCCCAAATAACCTAACGAAGCTACAGCAACTCTCGGAATTCCATTCCGACCCTCGGATCAAAATCTCACCTATCAACCGGAATTCGCGAAAATACTAACTTCGCCAATTCAAGTCAAATTCTACACCAGACCTCCAAAATCACTTCCGATCACACTCCTAAGTCACAAATCATCCCCCGAAGCTAACCGAATCGTCGAAATTCAAATCCGAGCCCTCTAACTCATAGGTCAACATCCGGTTGACTTTTCCAAAACAAGCCTTCCTTAAAGAGACTAAGTGTCTCATTTTCTTCCAAAAATTAACCCAATTCAACTCGTTCACACAAGACACTAATAATGAAGCATAACGAAGCAGAAAATGGGGGAAACGGAGCGATTCTCACTGGACGACGGGTCGGGTCGTCACACGCATGGGCGGTAGCGAATTTGTCCGCCATCTCCTCGAACGTTGATATTGACCTAGCCGGCAGTTGAGAATACCATGTTAGTGCCCCTCCGGTCAGGGTTTCTCCGAACTTTTTCAGCAGCACGGACGGCACCTGCTCCTTTGATAAGTCATTTCCTTTCACAGCGGTTACGTAGTGGATCAGATGATCTTCTGGGTCCGTGGTCCCATCATATATTCTCAAATATGGGGGCATCTTGAAGGTTTTTGGGATCGGATGAGGGGCGGCTTCCTCGCTGTACGGTTGCTCGACGAAACGCCCTACGTCGCGTTTCGGCAGTAATTTTGGTGCACCGGGTATTTTGTCTATCCTTTCCTGGTGCTCTTTCATTTGATCACGGAGTGCCTTATTCTCATTCTCCATTTCTTCCATTTTTCTTAGGATGGTTGCGAGCGCATCGTTGCTTACGATGATGTCTATATGAGCGCTCCTCGTCCGCATAGCACCTGGTTCGCCGGCAGCTGCGGTAGTCGCTGCCGCTGGCGAATCACTGGGGTTTCCCGGAGACGGTTTCTCGAGCAGGCCGCTCAGGGTGTTTGTCAGCCACTCCTCCAGTAATTTTTTGACTACTGGGGGTGTTTCCTTTACTGCGGGTGTCGAAGTCCCCTTCTCATGCAAGATCGTTAGATCTTCGAGTGAGGAGGGCGATATATCTTCCTCTGGAAGACTGCTCGGTGTTGCGTTTGAAACATATTCTTTACTAGCCTCGTCGAGGGGACCCATCGGTTGGTTGAGACATCGGCTATCATCTTTAGCTTAGATTCTCTGTCTGCCATTTCTGTTTCTACTGAGTTTGGGGGATAATGATCGTTGTTTCTGATACTCTAGATGTGAACTATGACTTTGATTATCGAAATCCCCACAGACGGCGCCTAAATGTTTGGCTTAAAAACGTGTTTAAACGAAACTACGTTTTTAAAGCTAAAATCAATCAAAATATATGGAGAAGAGGTAAATCGTAATCAAAGATAATCGACACTAGAATATGAGTAATCCTTTGTGGTTTGGTGATTCGGAGCAGTTAAAGGACAGTTGCGTGATAATGTTACAAAGATCCGAGGTATCCGTTTTTCAGAGAAAGAGAGAGATAGAAATTGAGACAGAGAGATAGAGAGAGTAAGTAGAAATGTTATTGATCAAAAATCCTCCCCTTTACACAGTTGGGAACCCCCCTTACATAGCGGAGGGATTTCCCCTTTTTTCCTATTTACGATATAAAGATAAAATATATAAACTAAAGATAAAGTGCACGTTACAGAGGGGCCGACGTGATTACATGGTCGTCCCTTGGGCCCGACCTTTGTCCACACGACAGGTCGTGTCCATTTTGAGGACGGGGTTGGTCAAACTCGACCCTATACAATTTTAAGGAAACATTATGCTAACGGTCATTTGTTCTCAAGTTTTGCGTTGTCTTCAAGTAATATCTTCTTTTAATAGATAAAGGACAGAAACCTTTTATAATTGACAAATACTTAACTTTGACCTCCAATGACTCTGTTGTACGGAGGAAAAATGAAGGAATTTTTGCCATTGTTTCTTCCGAAATTTCATTTCAGTGTGACAATACCTCTGACCGCTTATTTAAAATTGATCTAGATCTACTAATCTATGCAAGCTTGTTAGGACGGAAACAATCACGTGTCATGAGCAAGCTCACAAAGTATAGACCAGAACCATCACGTATCATGCGGACCCTAACAATGATAAATTAAACAACAAAAGAAAATCATACCAAAAGGAGACAAATATTTACGTGGTTCGGTCAATTGACTTACATTGGAAGGAGATGAGCAATTCACTATATAAAAAAAAGGACAAAATATCGAAAGAACAACCTTAGAAAAGAATAACACTTCTCTCAAAATTCTCCCTCTAAACAAGACCTCAAACCTTTTATGGCTACATTGTGGATACTCCTAAATGAGAAGAAAAAATCCTCAATTTATAAAAGTCCAAAACTTTTTCATCTAAGAAGAAGGATTAGCACTTTTCACCTCTTTTGTTCAAAAGATTAACGTATATATTTGCAATATTACATGTCATAGTGGTTCTATAGTATATATTTGCACTTTCAGATACAATCACCATATGGCTGTCAATGATTTGAAGTAGAATTTTTAGTAAGTATATCTCGGTAAACTAAGCTCCAACTATGCGCGGGAGCTAAGCATATTGATTCTACTATATGCAGTCTTATCTTGCATTTCTGTAAGAGCTTGTTTCCACGGCTTGAATCAATTACATCCTTGTCTCATAACAACAACTCTTATCGTTTAAATGGACTTTTTTAGTCGTAATTTGTAAGACGAAGATGTGATTTTCTGTGAAAAATTCTGTTGAAAGATGCAGCTATTAGCTTTTGAAAGCCTAATTTGGTAACCATATTCCTGAGTTTTTCTCTTTTAACACAACTCTTGAACTGATAAAGGCTCCAACAGTAAACACACGACTACCTTGTATGCCAAACTACTAGTCCAATCCTAGTCATTGTAGTATGTATAGAAATGTATAATGAATATTACAATGTAGATTAGAGATCAAGTCATAACATGGGAACTTTGGAAACTAAAAAAAGAAAAAGCAACCCGGTGCACTAAGCTCCCGCTATGCGCGGGGTTCGGGGAAGGGCCGGACCACAAGGGTCTATTGTACGCAGCCTTACCCTGCATTTTTGCAAGAGGCTGTTTCTACGGCTCGAACCCGTGACCTCTTGGTCACATGGCAGCAACTTTACCAGTTACGCCAAGGCTCCCCTTCGAACTTTGGAAACTGTGACCAAATAATTGTTTGCATCGAAGAAACAAAGTCACGAAACCAGAAAATGCCGAAAGAAGGATATGGATCATTCCCACGTAATACTATGTTGTGCAATTATGTTAACACATTCAGTAACCATGTACAACTTGTGAGAATCAAGGCAACAACATTTCTTCAAGCTAAATATATGGATAATCTTCTCATCAAGTTGATTCTAAGTGTCTTAGCTTCTCTTCTTTTAATCAGATTCTGTAATGGAGGTGAGTTAATCGAATCCAAGTCCTTTCTCAATTTTATTCTTGCTATTGATCCAAACAATGTACTAGGTATTAAGTGGAATTCTTCACTGACTTATAACCCTTGCTCCTACAAATTACAAGGTGTTGAGTGCAATTTACGTACCGGTAAAGTCATAGAAATAAGGCTTGAAAACATGAATCTTAGTGGGATAATTGATGCAGAGTCCCTCTGCAAACTCTCAAAATTGCGAGTTCTTAGCTTAACAAAGAATAAAATTCAAGGAACAATTCCTGAATCTATATCAAGGTGTAAAAGTTTAACTGTTCTTGATCTAAGCAGCAACTTTCTCAATGGAAATTCATCATTTCTACTGCAGTCTTTGACAATGCTCAAGAATCTTAAGAAACTGAACGTTTCTAACAACATTTTCACTTTCTCACAACCTTCAACGAGTCTACGAGCGTTGAGAGGTGTAAAAATGAAAGAATCTACATATATGTTTATAGCTCCATCTTCAACTATAGAAAGTGAGAAGACAAAAACAAAACATCATATAAACTTGATGGTTTGTCTACTCATATTTGCTGGAATTGTTCTTGTCTTAGTGGTTTTAGTATTCTTGTACACGAGATGCGTTAGATCAGCTAAGGACAAAGAGGTTTTAAAAGAAGTACATTATTCGTCTCCTCGAAAAACTCCCTCAGCTGAGGTTGTGAATGGAGTATGTAACACTGAAGAAAAAAACTCAGAACTATGCTTTTTTATGGAAGATGTCGAAAAATTTACAATGGATGATCTTCTTGAAGCAACTGCTAATTTGAGAAAACAAGGCCTTTGTAGCAGCCTTTACAAAGTCCATATCAGTAGCAGTGGTGTTTTTGCTGTCAAGAGACTGAAGAAACTACAAGTGGGGTTCATGGAATTTTCCCAAACAATGAGAAGAATAGGGAATTTGAAACATCAAAATGTACTTTCACTTGTTGCTTATTACTCTAGCAATGAAGAAAAATTGCTTATCTACAAATACCAGAACAATGGAAGTCTACTCACCCTTTTTGAAAGTAAGTGAATTAAGTTTAGAACTAATTACAGTGTCCAGATTTTACAATTTTCAGTATTTCATCACATCTCTTACGATGCTGATATTATTTTTCTGGCTTCTGTTGCTGTCACTGATCTATTGTATATTGTTTATTTCCTTCTTCTTGAGTAGAGGGTCTTTCGGAAACAACCTCTCTATCCCTCCGGGGTAGGGGTATGGTCTGCGTACGCTCTACCCTCCCCAAACCCCACTTGTGGGATTTTACTAGGTTGTTGTTGTTTGATCATATTGTTGTTCTTTTCACTTGCAGATTATGTAGAGGGGAAAAGGAATTTCCCATGGAAACTAAGGCTGTCAATTGCAGTTGGAATAGCAAGGGGATTGGCTTTCATATACAGAAGTTCCAAGAAAGGCAATGTCATTCCCCATGGCAACATTAAGCCATCAAATATTCTGTTAAATGAAAATGAGGAGCCATTAATAAGTGAGTATGGATATTGCAAGTTCCTAGACCCCAACAAGAGTTGCTTCTACAATGACAATGGTTACACAGCCCCTGAGAAGACGTCGACAGAAGAAGCTGATGCCTATAGCTTTGGGGTGATTCTGCTGGAATTGTTGACAGGTAAAGTTGTGGAGAAAACTGGATTAGACCTGGTCAAATGGGTGAAATCTATAGTGAGGGAAGAATGGACTGGAGAGGTGTTTGATAGTGAAGTTGCCAACTTTGAAATGTATGCTTTCCCTCTATTAAATGTAGCACTCAAGTGTGTGGAGCGTTTGCCAGAGGAGCGGCCTACCATGGCGGAAATTTTGGAGATAATTGAGGAAGTTGTGAATGATCAAGAAGACATTTCTCCTTCTATGACTTCTTTTGAATCCACCCCTGGTTCAATGAAGCATCTGTAAGCCTTTTAGTTTGAGGGCTTTTCTGCTTTCTGTATGTATGTGACATGTTCCTAAGCCGAGGATCTATTGGAAACAACCTCTCTATCCTCACAAGGTAGGGGTAAGGTCTGCGTACACACTACCCTCCCCAGACCCCACGGTGTGAGATATTACTGGGTATGATGTTGTTGTTGTATGTATGTGACATTATCTGCATAAATTGGCTGTTCACTGTTGCACTAGGTTATTCATAAGCTGTTTTGAACTCTTACTTGGCTCTTTCAAGTTGGTTTTCTGAAATGTGGTGCTAGTTGTGTGAAAGATTCAAAGAGAATGGATGAAAGAAGAAACACTTTCCATATAAGTTTCTTCCTTTAAAGAAGTATTCATCTTTTAAAGAACAATGTTCTTACTTTGACATCATCTTCAATGAACAAAGATTGCTCTCCTTTATCCTTAATAGTACTTTAATGTTGACATTAGCCTGATGCAAATTCATTCTTTATCGAATTTAAGCTGATTATTTTTGTTACAAAAATAATATCAGACAATGGCATGCAAGGCCAGTGGTGACTGTATGTTGTCTCAGAATGGTGTCTTGTAGCATGCTAAATACAGTATCACACCTATGATTGCTGATAAGAATCTTAGTATATTGAGGATGATGATGATGATGAAACAGCACAGCACATAATCAGATTATTTCAAGGGAAATGCTGAGCATAAATTAAGCACAAAGTTCTAATTAACAAGGTACAGAAGTAAAACAAGTCTTCAACGGACACAAGTCTATTAGTTCAGAGCATTTCAAGTATCCATGGGGTAAAATCATAAAATGGATAAAACACCACATTCATAAAATCCTTAGTGTTCGTTTATCCTTTTAGACTTGGTCCTAATCGCTATAGGTCATCTGAGAACCATTCGCAAAAGCTCAGAAAAAAGCTCTGCTGCCATAGAACACCCGTGAGCCAGTGCTCTTGGGTGTTTGCGATGTCTGATCTGAACTCGAATTACCAGAAGTTGTTGGCCTAGTTTCCATGTCCAATGGAAGCTTCATCTTTGCCAAGGACTCAGTAAATTGCTGCATACTTTTCATGTACATATCCACGATATCCTGTTGCACAACCTTTTGCTCTGGCTCAATGTTCACTGCAACCACTGGCTTTGGAAATGCACTGCTAGGCTTGGTTTCCGATATCTTACTCTCAGCATCTCCACTGGCTTTAGGAGCTGAAGCATATTCTTCCCCCGGAGATTTTGAAGCTCCTTGGGTATCAGAGGACTGAGAGGTTGCAGGGTGCAAAGCGGATGGAGAGTCGATGGTTGATACGCTGCTAGGAGGGGAATCGCGCTTAGGATATTGGTGGAAATTAGCAACTCCACTTGGAAAATTTTCCATATGGACATCTACATCTGGACTGAGCTGATTTTCAGTATCAGAAGAGACAAAGCTATCTGAGCTTTGAGAGTCCAGATTAGTGCCTGGTATATTAAAGTACTCAGAGACCATAAGATTATTTTCATTTACAATCTTAGGATCTGGGAACTCAATTTTATCAAACTCGTTAAGCAACGACTCGGGTGTCTCGCTATCTGGGGGCCGAGATGCATCAGTGTCCACAGATACAGGCAATGAAGGAATTTCAAGCACTTCAGGTGAAGTTCCACTGTAAGAAACGGACAACTGTACAAATCCTGCTGGGGAGTGATAGAGATCGGTTGACGAAAGAGAGAACTCTTTTTCTAGCTTTCCATTTTTGGCAAGGATTTCAGAAAGGGGGACTAGCGCAAATCCTAGCAGTTGGTCTTCCAAATAATTCCTCACTCTGCTCATCATCCATATCTCACATTTAACCGAGCATTTTATTGTACGAACTTTGAGCCTTAGATTCTCATTGAAGACCGGAGATTGCCCACCGCCATTAATGATATGAGTGGAGACTGCATTTTCAGGATCACTAGTAAGGCAAAGTTTTGCATAAACATCTTGCTTATGGTAAATGCAGATGTTGTGGATATCTCTAGCCTGATGTACGTACACATCGAGAACACCAATGAAGTCCTCCAAGTTGCGGGCATCAGCCTCCTCTCTGCGAGCAGAAATTCCCTCGGATAGTCCAGAAGGGTTCTTGATGAAAAATTCACTGCTTTGCTTCTCGGAGTCGGCAAAAACAGAGGAATCCTTAAATGGGGATACAACAGACTGTGGAGAATCCATGAAGCTGACCACAAATAGTACCTAAGAAATTTGAAGGATAGCTTCAATATCAGGTATTACCATCAAATAAGAATTAGCAGCAGGGGCGAAGCTATGTTGGCCCAAGGTGGTCAACTGAACACCCTTCGCCAAAAAATTATACTACGTATAAGGTAAAATATTAGTACTTGTTATTGATTAAAAATAGACTTTGAACACCCTTGCATAGCCCATTGGCAAAGGGTGTTCAAAATTTGAACACCCTTATTGAGTTTTCTCGCTTCGCCGCTGATTAGAAGCTGCATTTAATGTGAAAACCTTAACCAATAAACTCATAAACCTAATAGCCTGTTTGGCCAAGCTTCTTTTTGGCCAAAAGTGCTTTTTTTTTTTGCCAAAAGCACTTTTGGCAAAAAATTGAGGTGTTTGGCCAAGCTTTTGGAAGGAAAAAAAATGCTTTTGAGGAGAAGCAGAAGCAGTTTTGGAGAAGCAGAAAAAAGTAGCTTCTCTCCAAAAGTACTTTTTTGAGAAGCACTTTTGAGAAAAATACACTTAGAAGCAGTTTTTTACAGCTTGGCCAAACACTAATTGCTGCTCAGAAGTGCTTTTCAAACTAATTAGCCAAACACAAACTACTTACCGCCAAAAGTACTTTTGAGAAAAGCACTTTTGAAAAAAAACACTTCTCAAAATAAGCTGATTTTTGCAGCTTGGCCAAACGGGCTATAAATCAGAAACATATCTAGACCAGCAAATAAGGGATCAAGATTGAGAATGGTGGAGCTCCATGTTAATTTAAAAAAGACGAATAACATTGCAGAGAATGAGCAAAAACAGTCAGAACTGGTTAAGATACCAAAATTAGAACACTAGATACTGTTATACCAAGAGCATAAGACATCAACAATACATGCAGAAAATCAGAATCTAGTGAACTAGTTAACTAAAGCAATTATCCGAATATAGAAACGAATTAATCTTTATTCATAGCAAACTGAGAAAAACCCAAAAGAGCGGGGAGCAAAAACACAAAACTCGCCAGAAAGAGAAACAGCTTAAACTACCAAGTCTGATCCTGGAAATAAACAGAACCCATAAAGCTACAATCTTTTACTTTCTCCTCAAGTGTTCAGGCACCAAAGAAAGATTAATAAAGCTACAATCTTTAACCTTCTATTTTCCCTTTCCTAACTCAGACTAAGTAGTTAAAACCCAATCAAAATTCCTCAAAATTAAAGAAGAGAAATAACACAAGTGCTTGAAATTCCTTACTAGCAGGGTATGTTGATTGAGCATAAAAAGAACAAGTCAAAAGAGTGGAATCAAGAAATGAAGTTCATTTAATGAACCAAAGAAAATAGGCACGTAAATGATAAAAGTCTAACAGGTTAGTCCTTATACCTTACTTTCCGTTTATAGGGCAGAACAAGTGCAAACAGCAAATATTGTACAATCTGTGTCTTCACTGGAAGAAGAAGAGCCAACACGAAATACGAAGAAGAATAATTGAGAGGTGCAGAGAATAAAATCAACGGAATGATGGTAGTGGGTTTACAAGTTTGTCCCATATTTCTAATGATATTTGTATACTATTTGTATTAAAAATAATTTATTTTATATAATGGATTTATATATTCACAAAATATACGTGCCTCATTTTATATCACAAGTTCAAAAATTTTATATTCTTTTTAAATATTATTTTCAGTAAAATAAATTCATATAAATTAAAACGGATTACTATCTTTTGGAATTTTATACTAATATCATTATATTACTAGTAGTATTAGAGGATATAATTTCTTTTGCCTTTTTCTTAATACAAAAAGTTGGCCTCCCACAGGAAACACCGACCTATAGCCATTGGCTCACCACTCCAATCAATCAATGGACCTCTTAGTGCGTTTCACAGTTGGTATCTGCACACTGGAGCGTGTCTACCACATGCTATTTTCTTGGGGATGTGACAAATTATTTATTCTTGATCATTATTTTAATAGATAAACTCGCACCTCTGACTCATACTCCCTGCGGTCCAAAATAAGTAATTTTTTTTAGATGTTTTCACACAAATTAAGAAATTCACCTTTTAGCATTAATTAGCAATGGAATAGACCATATTAACCTTTACTATCTCACATAAACACTCCTAACACATATTCCAACACCATTTACTTCAAGGACAATGTAGGAAAAAAATAATTAATTTATTCTATCTGGAAAAACCACTTATTTTGGACCACAAGAAAAAGGCCAAAAAATCACTTATTTTGGACCGGAGGGAGTACTTTCTTCAATGGATCGTCTTCTGAATCCATAGTTTGATGTTTAATTTAGTCCAAAAATAAGTGGTAGATCCAGTATTTCAAGGTAATGGTGGGAGGAGTCGGATTTAGACAAAACGGATAAAATTTTCGAACCACTTATATTTAATACGGATAAATAATAAATAGAATGACCAAAAATATAAATATTCATATTTTCTTGAATATTATCATTATTGTGAGAATTTCAAACCACAATATAGGCTGTCAAATTTGGTGGTGGTAAATTGAATACTTTTCTTTTTATGCCACGATGAACAAAATGAATTGAAGAAAGGAACAACGGCAAAGTTAAGAACAGAAGGGAAAGCCATGTAAAAGGGAGACGAAAAAAAAGTCAGAATAAGAAAAACTTTCGGAAAAAAAAAAGAATAAAAAATACGAAGAGAAGAACTATCTGAGTAGAAAGAGTGCATCACGTGGGAATAGGCAAAGAATCTTAATATTTGTAGGAAAAAGGATTGTTTCTGTTGCCTCAACCATGTACACTTTATATAGTAAATTCAGAAGGGTTCAAGCTAAATAGATAAGTACAACAGAGATATTCACAAGAGTTTGAGTGTGACTATAATTAGGACTCTAGCTAGTGTAGCTTAAGGTAAATGGATTACGTTGATGAGAATGATTTGTTAGCCTTTGAATTATCCTTATCATGCCCCCTCAAGATGGGCTCAATCTCCTTGAGGCCAATCTTGTGAATGAATTGTCCAAATGATCGTTTAGGCAGTGCCTTTGTCAAAGCATCAGCAAGTTGACTCCCAGTAGGTATGTGACTTACTGAAAGCTCATTTCTTTCTACTTGATCGCAGAGGAAGTGGAAACAATGGCCACATGCTTCATTCAACTATGAAAGACTGGATTTCGACTTAAGTAGGTAGCACCAATATTGTCACAGAGTACCTTAGGAGGACTGGACATGGAAACATGCAATTCCTTCAGTAAGTTTGTGATCCAATTAAGTTCAGCTACAGCAGAAGCAACAGCCTTGTATTCTGCTTCAGTAGACGATCTAGCAACTGTGCGTTGCTTTTTGGAGCACCAACTTATTGGATTATTGCCAAGAAGTATAACATAGGCAGAAGTTGAGTGCCTGGTGTCTGGTATACCACCCCAATCTGCATCTGAGTAAGCTAGCAACTTGAAAGAAGTGGCGGGCGTGAAGTGAAGACCATAAGTAATGGTACCCTTCAAGTAGCGTAGAAGTCTCTTGGCTACTTGCCAATGTTTCAGGCTTGGTCGATGCTGAGACTGAGCAAGTTTATTCACTGCAAAACATATATCTGGACGAGTGAATGTTAGATATTGTAAGGAACCAATAACCTGCCTGAATAACTTGGCATCTGCAGATGATGATCCATCATCAAGTGAAAGAGGTTCATTGGTTGACATCGGAGTGCTAACACTGTTTGCATCGAGCATGTCGAATCTTTCTAGAAGATCAGCGATGAAGCTGCTTTGGGTGAGAACCAAACCATGAGCATGCTGCAAGACTTCAACACCAAGGAAAAAATGTAAAGAACCAAGATCCTTGATGGAAAACTTGTCACCTAGTAGTTTGATGGTACTTTGGACATGAGAAGAGTTAGAACCAGTGACGACGATATCATCGACATAGACCATCACAAAAAGTAATAAGCTGGTAGTACATTTCAGGAATAAAGAGTCATCAGATTTAGCCCTTTGAAAACCACATGACAGAAGGTATTGTTTGAGCTCGTTGTACCAGGCCCTAGGTTCTTGACGAAGGCCATATATCGACTTATGAAGCTTGCATACATGTTGTGGAAATTTTGGATCTCTAAAACCGGGCGATTGATTCATGTATACAACTTCATGAAGTGTACCTTGTAGGAAGGCATTGTTCACATCTAACTGCCGCAAGGGCCACTTAAACCAAACCACAAGCACAAGAATTAGACGAATTGTAGTATGTTTGATCACAGGACTAAAAGTGGAATGAAAGTCTACACCAGGTCATTGATGAAAACCCTTTGCAACTAATCTCGCTTTGTAGCGAGCCACAGACCCATCAGGTTTATGCTTGACATGATAAACCCACTTGCATCCAACTACATTTTGAGAGGGAGATGGAGGAACCAAAGTCCAGGTGGAATTTCTCATAAGGGCGGTATATTCATCCTTCATGGCTGTTTCCATTCAGGATACTTGTTTGCTTGGGCAAAAGTTGTCGGAGCAAGAGGAAGCGGTTTGGTGGAAGAGATAGCAAGATAGTCAAAGACAACTTTTGGTTTGAAGATGTTGTTCTGGGATCTCGTGACCATAGAGTGAGTAGGAGCAGGTGGCAAAGTTTGTGGTGGAGGCAAAGGATATTGTGCAACAGGAGACATAGTGTTGGGCATGCTTGGAGTAGAGGGTGAGGGTGAATTAGCTGAGGTACTTACAACAGTACTTGATGACACATCCTCTGCCAGTAGTTGGAGAGGCAGTGATCTCTTGAGTAGTCCTTGGGACAACCAGGTCGATGGCTTGAGGTATAGGAGGTGGAATGCATGATTCATTGGTATAAGGTAGGGAAATTGAGGAGGAGGAAGCTACTGGACAGTGCCAAGACTCCAAGTTGGAGGTTGAAGCGCGATCAAGGGAAGGGAAGTGCAACTTGAATGGAAAAACATGTTCCATAAAGACAACATGTCGGGAGAGAAAAAATTTTGATGCCGAGAGATCTAGGCAAGCAAAACTGTTAGTGACAGAGGAGTACCCCATAAAGACACAAGGTTTTGATTTTGTATCAAGTTTGGAGCTAGAGTAAGGTTTAAGCCAAGGATAGCAAAGGCAACCAAAAACCCGGAGCTTGTGATAATTAGGTGTGGTATTGAACAAACATTGAAATGGTGATTTTAACTTGAGCAAAGGTGTTGGTAGTCGATTAATGAGGAATACTGCAGTTTGGAATGCAATGGACCAAAATTTTAGGGGTACTGAGGCATGATGAAGTAAGGTCAGGGCAGTGTCAACGACATATCTATGTTTTCTTTCGGCAGTTCCAACTATTTGAGGGGTATATGGAGGACTCATGAGATGCTGAATGCCCATTTCCAGTAAGAGAGATTTAAGACCAATATATTCACCTCCTCCATATGTGTATAGTGTCTTGATGGATGCACTAAACTGATTATGAATTATTCGAGTGAAGTTAATAAAAATACCTTTAACATCTGATTTATTTTTGAGCGGGAACAACCAGGTATACTTAGTATAGTGATCAACAAAGATAACATAGAATCAAAAGTTGTCAAAGAGGGAATTGGAGAGGGACCCCAAACATCTGAATAAATAACATCGAATGGCTCAGAACTAGAAATAGAATTGTCACCAAATGGTAAACGATGACTTTTATTACATAGACATGAATTGCAGAAGGTAAAAGGATCATTAATTGACACTGGAAGCTTGAATGAGGACATACATGCTTTGGTGATACGAGGTTGAGGGTGACCAAGACGAGCATGCCAAAGGTGCAGGGACGGTGATGCTTGAGTAGCAAAGTTGGCTTGTAGTGAAGGTGGTGAGACATTGGTTGGTGGCCATTCGTAGAGATCACCTTTACTCCGACCTCGCAGAAGACATGCCCCCGTGCTCAAATCCTTCACAAGAAAAGAATAAGGAAAAAATTCAATAGATGTTAGATTTTGACGACAAAATTGAGCAACAGAGATTAGTTTCTTCTTTATATAAGGGGAACAAAGAACATTCCGTAACTTAAAAGAATTATGAGATGAAGAAAGTGTAGTGTGACCAATATGAGTAATCGGAATGGTTTTACCATCTCCAAAGATTATTTCATCAGTGCTAGGGAATTCTGTTTTCGGCTTGTAGAGATTGTGAATTATTTATGATATGGTGTGATGCTCCAGAGTCAACAATCCAATTGTTTGCGGGATTAGATGCATAGGACAAGCGGTTGGTGAAGTTGGCTTGAGCCTCAAGTGCACTATGTGATTTTGAGCGACAGACTTTGGCGATGTACCCAAATTTGTCACATAATTGGCATTTGACTGTCTGCTGGTTGCTACGGTTGTTGGGGTGGAAGGAGTTGGAATTCTGGAAGGAGTTGGTGCATTGGTTAGTTGAGGTGTTCTGAATGGGACCCCTGCGGTTGTTGCTTGGATTATAGTTCCTGGATTTTGAGTTTGGGTAGGCTGATTTTTGATGTAACTGGGCAGTGATGATTGGGTTCTCAAGCTTTGGCTCCGAGTGTTTAATAAACATCTCATGCGCAAGCAATTTGTCATAGATCT